TTGGAAAGTTCAACATTACGTAAAACACCATAAAATGCGGACATTTCAATGACTTTTATCAACCAAATTAATATCCCACCAAGATTTCTCTTACAAAAGTAATTTTGCTTTTTTTCTCTATTATGTAAATTAACTACTCAAATTAGTATTGGCTCTAGTAATGGTTGGTCATTTTGAAGGTTGGTTATTTTGAAGTAGTTAATAAGATGAATCTATCTTATTAACTACTTTTAAGTCAATCTTTTATTCTATGCATATGATGTACTTATACACGCACATACACACACACACAGCAGCACTTTCTCTAGTCTTCCAAATTTTAGTGTGACAGACCTCAAATTTTCCCCAAATATCTATGTATAAAGTATTTTGATATATCTCACTTGATATGCTGAAGTTCTAGCTGTATTTTACACTAGAGTTTTTAAAAATATTTTTATTGGTTCCAAAGAAGAAGGGAGAAAGATAGAAACATCAATGATGAGAGAGAATCATTGATTGGCTGCCTCCTGCATACCCCGCCCTGGGGATCAAGCCCACCCTGACCAGGAATCAAACTGAGAACTCCTGGTTCATAGGTCAATGCTCAACCACTGAGCCATCGCAGCCGGCCAAAACTAGAGTAAGTTCGAATAAGTTTGTAGTTATGTCCCCAGCAAAAATTTGAAAGCCTAACAACCAACCACAAGAGTATATTTTGACAATATTTTCATCAAGAGTTAGCTTTTAATATATCTTTAAAATCAGTAATCCCTAAAACGTTTGACAGGTAAGTAAGCAATTATAATATCTTTATTAAACATACAATGAAGTAAAATGGTCTTCTTTAATTGTATCTTATAGAAATATGGAGACACTTTCTAAGTCTGTAGGCAAATAAACACTTGGTTTTTCTTCTAGACCTTCTTAAGAAATATATTTATCTCCAGCTTACTAAAAACACAGGCAGTAAAAATCATACCCACATTTAAGATTACATGAGTTTGCAAGCATAATATTTTAATGTATTAATTTCATCAAGATTTTATATTTAAAAATGACACAGCATTTTGTCTTAAAACTAGGAAAAAAATCTAATGCTTTAGAAAACATTAAAGAAAATTTAAGATCTTGTGATTAAGTGCCAATATTTTCCTATCTTATGATTTTTTAAATATGAGGTAAAGGATTTTTTAAAAATTTGTATGAAGTTAGAAAATTATATCGATATTATTTTAAAGAAAGAATATTCAATCCCCACAATTCCCAAAACAAATCTTTAATTAAGCTATAAATTTTGGGTAAATAACGTCAAAGTAATATATTAGAATATGAAGGCCCAGCAATGATCCCTTATTTTACAACAAGGGTATCTTCCTTTTCAAAGTTAAGAGAAAATAAAAGGGAAAGGAAAAAAACTTAGAAAAAGTAACAGTGAACTAAACAAGTCCTTTTAAGTGTTCTCTATAAAAGAATAGTTTTGCTTAAAAGAATAGAAAGACATTTTAGAGAAAATGTTATGTTAAAAACAAGTTCATATCCTTTCTAGTTCATAGCAATATCCTTAAATATTTAATGTCATACCTCAAATTAAATTGCAGTTATTTCATTAATAAATCTACCTTTTCTTCTCTCTCTTGGAGTATAAGACATCCTGACAACTCTTAATTATAACAATTATTGACTGGGCAAATATAGGAATCAAAATACAAAAAGCTATGAAGTGACAATGGTTATGTAATTTAAATCTCATGAAACAATTTTACATAAAAAAAAGGAACAAGCTACAGCTTTTAGTTCTAAAATATCATAACCAGGATTATTTTATTGAGTCCAAACTCAATGAACATCTCCTACAGTCTCTAGACTAATACAGTGAAGCAAAGGAAATAAGCCCACTATTATTTATTTTTTGACATCAGTGTTGAAAACGGCAGCTACATCGAACTTCTTTGGAATACTCTTCCTGGATTATTTACCCCAAATTCCTATCTGCCATTCACCCGACAGTCAAAATTTAGTAAGTCCTAAACAGCAAAGAAGTTAACCCAGTCAAGGCTGAAGTCACCTTTCCTTTAAGTATCTTTTTGAAGGATGAGGCTGGGGAATAATTCCTACAGACTCAATGATACGGCCCTAAAATGGACTACACCTTATATGCAAGGATGAAAGAAATTCTGCCAGAATCTTTTACCCATTATAACCTCTCTTTGGAAGTTCTGGAAAGGAAAAATGGAATATTTACATATAGAAATTTGAGAATATTATTTAATTAGCCTGTATGATGACTTTTAAGTATATTTTGCATCTCTGCTTAAAATTACAATGATGTCACAGTGGCAACAGTAAAATATCGCTGTACTGTATGGCAATAACAATATGATATTTACTTGTTACCCAGTAATTACTGAATTTATTTAGGCAACAATATAATGTCATAGTATAGTTTCATCATCCTGATATACCATCCTATCATTGCATTTTGTCACAATATGGTCATATTACGCTTGTCAGAATACCAGTCGAATAACATGTGAGTAACAACATAATCTGAATTGCTTATAGCTATGTATATACACATTAGCAGCCAAATGTTTCACTTTCAAATCATGTTTTAATGAAAACAAATGTAACGGGTTTGCTCCACAGGGCCATACAAAATAGAACATGAAAATACAAAAATGGCATTAAGAAGTTAACAACTAAAATACTTCTGCACATATTATTATTCCAAATGTAGTAATTCCTATAACAACTTCTTCCCCTCCTTTGTACATTGAGAGTTAACTATACACACATAAAAAATATTTCAAAATCTCTAAAAACTGATACTCACTGCCATCATCTTAATGAACACTAACTTTTAGCATAAGCTTGTTACAGTCAAATACTAACGTCCCTATCCTCAAGCATACCTGGAAAATTTTGAAATTAGAGTTCAAGTTTATATCACTGTAGAAACACATGAGGAAGTTGCTTTGAGTTACCTTTTTGGTGGGGCGCTTCCAGGGACTGGTTAAAATCACTTGAAAAGAGTTCTCAAAAGTCTGAAACAGCTGTAGCATTTGCAGAGCACTAAATCTGGAGCCTAAAGATCAGCCCAGGCTGTTAATGGCTTTGTGGCTTTTCATGTAACTTAATTTCTGAGTCTGTTTTTTGAGCTTCATCTTACATGTTTCATAAATTCTTGTCCAGGTTTTTGCTGTTTTTTTCTACACATTATTTTATTTTTCAATCAAGAACTTATTGAGAATCTACTAAGTGACGGGAACTGTGCTAGGCACATTTTGTTACTCTAATTAGGAACTGAAGAATATAACGTCAGAAATGTGACCTTTTTGTTTGGAGAGTTTCAGGATCCAGTGAGTAAAATTGCATATCTCAATTGAATTAATATATAATCACGTATAATATATATTACATATATCTAAACACTTGGTGTAATCCTATATTTGAACTTCAATTTGAAAACAGCTTCCAAGTTTTAAGTTCAAATATAGGATCACACCCAAGTAAGGTTGCAAGGGTTAAAAAAAAAAAAAGTGAGATAAATACTTGACAACGAGATATTCTGAATAATTTTTGTTTGTAGTACCATGCAATTTAGGAAGGCAATAGACTTGAGACAATTAAGTAAACAATACTTAGACTTATGTAGAAATAACCAAGATCCAGTTAAGGACATGAAATAACAGAGGCAAAAAAACCCCAACCATATTCTTTCTCACAGGTTGCTTGCCTTGTCACTTTCCTTTGCATTAAACCTTGCAGGGTGGGGCTGGGGGCTAGGGGTGGAGGGATTACAGAGAGAAAAATGTCGAGTGAAGTACAAGAACAAGCAATGGCATTTCTAGAATTTTATGAAAGTGTACAAGATTTAACTGGCACATATCACACACTATTAAGAAGTCATGAGATACAAACATACATATTTTTGAATGAAGCAGCATTCAGATAGGAATTAACTAATTCACAACCTTTATTAACATAGGAGTTCTGTCCTACCAACCTAATCGGGTCAATCCTTTCAGTGTAACAGTTATTCATAGCAGCATATTCATAGCAGGCTTGTCGTGAAAGAAAGGTTCCAGAGATTATAACAGGGACGCCTAGGAGCTGCCCTTCTTTCACTCGTTAAAATGAGTTAAGAGAGAAAAAAAATCGAACAGAAACATAAGTGTATTTAACGCAGCAGATACGCGTGTAACTAACTTGGGATCTACATAAACCTTTAATCCATTCAAGCCAACGTGGTTTGTTTAAAGATTCAGAACCGGGAGATGAGCAGCCTGGCGGTGGAAGACCGGGAGTTACTTTTTTTTTTTTTTTTTCAGTATCTTCCAATGAAGCCCCTCTCTCACAGTGATACCAACTTTTGCAGGTTAATCCAAACCACGAACTACCTGGGGGTGGCAGAGACCTGGAGGGGGTTCTAGAGAGGACGGCCGCACTGTCTCCCATCGTGAGTAACTCCCCTTGACCGAGGTAACAGCACGAAGGGATCCGGTCGCAAACTAGAAAAAGGCTGCTGGGCAGGAGCCGAGCGACAGTGGGAGCACCAGCACCGGTCTGGTTAACAGCATTTCCGAGTCTCCATGCAACCCCTCCTCCCTCCATCTCTCTCGGACCAGGCCATCTCTCCACGTCCGAAGGCGGGGGCGCCGCACAGACACGTGGGGTCAGGCGAGCTCCCCCAGCAAGTCCCCTCCCTTGCTTTCCCTCTGTCGAGCATAGATCTCTGTTCTGAACCGACCTAAGAGCTGGTCCAGGGCTGGAAGCCCGGTTGATACCAGCAGCTGTCCGTTCCGCACCGACGGTCGTGTGCCTGCGATGGACACGAGTCGACAGCCGCCGCTCTCGGTGCCGCTGGCTCTCGGACCCCTTCTCTGGAAACTGGTGACGTTGTGTTTGCTGCCTGCCGCCGCCGCCACAGACCCAGGAGTCCAGCTGCCGGGGCCGCTGCTTCCCTCTGCCGCCATCTTGGCGCTTCCCGCGTAGACCCAATAGGAACTCTGGGAACTCCAGTAGTCGGCCTGTCAGCGCCAGCCCCCAACTCCCGCCTCCTTGCGGCTCTCGTAGCCAATAGAACTGCGAGTTCCGTCTTAAGTCAACCAATAGCAAGGCGTCTTGCTGAAAAGTGCTCTCTGCGTGAGGACGGCGGACTTGTGCGGGACCCAGGTGAGAAAGGCCCCCCTGAGCCCTGGGTGAGAGCCTTCCGGGGTTCTTTGGGGCAAGAGGTGGGTGATATACAACTTCGCTCTCGTTTTGAGTATCTTCATGCACGTTTAATTACAGAAGCGATCGGTGGAGCGACATATCAAACAACTGCCAGTAGGACTTTTCACCTAAGCTTGTTTGTGAAGAGGAAAGATACATTTCCCCGCCCCTTCCTCTTCTGATATCTGAAAATTCATCGTCTTCACCTGAAGTCATTAATGTTTTTTCAATGGTTGTGTTATACTGAAGGAATCGGAACTCGCCTTAATGAGTTGCTTGCTGAGCATCTGAGCTCAGTTTGTCAGTGGCAGGTGGGTTGGGTTTAGACCTTAGAGTGAAAACTCTTGAGCTTGGAGCCGCTTTGGTTTCCCTCTGATTCTAAGAGCAAATGACAAAATGTACTTCTCTGGCACGTCCCCGTGACAAGCTTTCGTTAATTTTAATTAATGCTTCTGAAAGTCCCTTTCCATAAGTGGTGTGAATGACAAGTGTTACTCTGACAACCTTGTTCACACATTTAATTGTCGTTTGCTGTTAAGACACCTTCAAATAACAAACTACTTGAGGTATTCTTCCAAAAAAACTGGTTAAGAATGAAATGTGTATGTACATTATTTTCCTAGTGATTTGTGAACTTTGAAATGAGAGTTTTCTTATTAGAATAGGAATTTTATGTGCAGGGGAAAAATGTAATTTAGAGCTGTGTCTTTCCATTTAAAATGTTTCTTAAAACTGAGCGTGTGTGTGTGTGTGTGTGTGTGTGTGTGGTGGGTAAGTGATTTTTAAAAGCATTCATGATTGACAAGTTTAAACTATAAAAAGACTCCCAAATCATGCTTGCACTACAAAGTTATGACTGGTTTTGACAGTGATGTATGCTACTTTTAAAATACAACCAAACCTCATGGCAATTCTTGCCATTGAATTGTTTTAAATCTCAATGACCCGTTAAAACTCTTTGGCAGGTTCTGTTTGATACATCAGAATTAGTTTGCTAAGTAGTGACTGGAGTTTTTCATTTGGTGAGTTCTTTCATTTTTCTGGATTTTTTTTTTTTTTTTACAGAAAAATGTTCGGGAGAAAAACAAACTCATGTTGCTATTCAACTATATCATCTGGAAAGTTTGATGAGGTTTAGATGTTTTTATTTTGGATCTTTTGCCAGTATATATCTAAATCATTCAGTAAATAGCTGTTAAGTGCTTACTCTTTGCTTAGACCTAATCTTGTCACTTTTAGGCCCACAGAAGTAAAAATGTTCTTATGTGAGGGAGAAAAGATTAACATTAGAAAACAGAACAGCACTTGAACACATTGAGCAGTATGTACAAATTTTGATCTGTAGTAACTACTAAGAAGAGCAAAACAAAAAGTGGCAAAGCATTTTAATATCAAATAGAAACATCTTGGATATTTTTGTTGCTCTTAAATACTGAATTTTTACATTTTATTTTTCCTATTCTCTTGTCTCCTAATCTGTTTACCCTTTGGTTTTCTAAGGATGATGATGTGATGCTTTATTTGCCTTATTACTAGAACTGAAGAATTGTTTTCAACTTTTATAATTTGGGAAACATGACATATGCACCCACGGAATTTCTGAAGTTAGGCTGTATCTTTGGAATAGTATAAAATTATCAGAGGATAATTTAATTTGTCTTGATTTTTTTTTTACAAAGAAAAAACTTTTGCTCTCAAAGCAACTAATCACACATATTTGAATTTACCAGTATATAGAGTTGAATATAAGGCATTGGATTAAATACAGTGTATTTTTAGAAGCGAAGAGATAAAAAGGTATATGTTTAGGTGTGCTGTTAATGATGAATAATAATTAATTAATTAATTTCCAGGTAATGAGCTAAGTACACAGGTTACAGGAAAAAGAATACTTAGTCTTTGCCTTCCTTGAGTGCACAGTTGAGGGACATAGGTGGATAAGTAGAATACTAAAGTATACTATATAATTTCTATTGGAGGACAAATGTATGATACCTAACTTGGACTGAGAAGAGCCTTGGAAAGTTTCCCCTGATGAGAAAGCTTAACCTGAGTTTTGAAGAATGTGTAGGTGATTTAATCATTATAGAGAATGGAAGCCATTACAGAGAATAGGAAGACGGCTTCTTCAGTAACTCTGTTCTCATTGCTTCTGTGTAAGTTGTTCTCATGGTTTATGCATAGTATGAATAGAAGGGGAGATTGGAGAAGGTCTAATTAGTTTTCTTAAGGTAGTAGATTTTTTTCCTTTAGGCATAATAGGAAATGGGAAATCATTGAAAACTTTTAAGGAAAGGATGACAGTGATTATATTTGATCGTTATGTTTTGACTAAACATGCTAGAAGAAAATGGATTGTCTAAAAGTGTGACTGGAATAAAGAGAATGGAATGAATTAAGATATTACTATAAGGGGTAGAATTGATATGATCAAGGAAGGTTGACAGGAGGAACCAAAGATGATTAACAGGTTTCTGCCTTGAACAGCTTTGTGAGTGATCCTATCTAATAAAGAGGGAATATGTTATTGACCCTCACACCATCGCAAAGATGGCAGCACCCACAACTAATAAGGAGGGAATATGCTAATTGACTCCCACGCCCTCAAAGATGGCAGCGCATGCAGCCACAGGATGGCCGGCAGGGGAGGCCAGTTAGGGGCAACCAGGCCAGCATGGGAGGGCAGCTGGGGGTGACCAGGCCTGCAGGGAGAGCAGTTGGGGGACGGCCGGCAAGGGAGGGCAGTTGGGGGTGACTGGGCCGGCAGGGGAGAGCAGTTGGGGGCGACTGGGCCGGCAGGGGAGGGCAGTTGGGGGCAATCGGGCCAGCAGGGGAGCAGTTAGGCGTTGATCAGGCTGGCAGGGGAGTGGTTAGGGGGTGATCAGGTTGGCAGGCAGAAGCAGTTAGGGGCAATCAGATAGGCAGGCAGGCAAGTGGTTGGGAGCCAGCAGTCCCGGATTGTGAGAGGAATGTCCGACTGCCAGTTTAGGCCCGATCCCACAGGGATCAAATTTTGTGCACGGGGCCTTTAGTAGATGATAAAGGATAAAGGAGGGACAGCAGAATTTTGTAGTTAGGTTGGTTATTTTAGGGAATGGGAGATCATAAAATGAGTATTTTTAAAAAATGTGTATAATTGGAGGAACCATTGGAGTAGTCAAGTGGAAATATCCAGTGCACAGTGGATTATGTGAAAGAGGGAACTCTAGATGAAACATAGATTTGAAGTTAATTAGCATATGATGGAAGTTTACCCCAGGAAATGTATATTTTAGAATCAGAAGAAAAAATAACTGAGAATAAACTTTGGGAAACATAAATATTTACAAGCTGGGCAGAGGAACAGAAAACAAAATAAGAATTGGAAAGTGATTATTTGATTTAGTAATAATGGTTTATTTTGTTAAACTGAAAAGTCAAATAATTGTAGTTAGAATTAAATGGCAAGTGAAGTTGAATATTCCATAAAAATAGACCATTTTACATTTTAGAAAAATTTGTTTTGGAGTGGTGGGAGGGGATAGAAAGAGATGACAAAAAAATCAAGGGAGGAGTTTTGTTTGAGAGGAACTGTAAAACAACTTTAGACAATTGATAAAAGGACTTGAATGAGGTAGAAGGAATGGAATCAGAGCACAGGAGAGGGATTAGTGTTTGAAAGAATAGACAATTAAGTGGCTAGAGGGTATTAAAAAAGTAAGACTCTTGCCAAACCGGTTTGGCTCGGTGGATAGAGCATAGGCCTGTGGACTGAAAGGTTCCAGGTTCGATTCCAGTCAAGGGCATGTACTTTGGTTGTGGGCACATCCACAGTAGGAGGTGTGCAAGAAGCAGCTGGTCGATGTTTCTCTCTCATTGATGTTTCTAACTCTATCCCCTCTCCCTTCCTCTCTGTAAAAAATCAATAAAATATATTAAAAAAAAAAAAAAGTAAGGGTCTTGCTTTCTGCCATTAAATCTTGAAGTCCTTAGGACCATTTTATCTTTTTACCATGTTCTATATTACCTTCATCCACTCCCAGGACCTCAGTTACAATTTATATACCAGTGTCTAACATTTATAGCACAGATTGCTTCTCTGACCTCCAGAATCATAAATTCATATATTTACCTGTTTCTTAAAAGTCTTAATGGAACCTTAACCTCACAATACCCCAGACTGAACTTCCTCTAGTGCAGGGGTGGGGAATGTTGGGCCCAAGAGCTGTATAAGGGCTGCAAAATCATTTGGTCTGGCTTTGCCAAGACATTAGGGGTAGTTAATTAAATGTTTGACCAAATATAGTAGGGTAATTTTTAAATTGATAATTTTGTATGGCCTAAGAATGATGTTATAAATACCCAAATGGCCCTGGGCAGAAGAGAGGTTCCTTATTCTCGCTCTAATGTTTTGTATCTTATTAAATCTTAAGACAATTTGTAGAGTTAGTTGCCTAAGCAATGGAACTTCACTCAATCCCTATTTCAAGTTGCATTTTGCCATATGCAGCCCATTACCAAGACCTGTGAATTTACCTCTTAATAGCTCTCTGATCTATTCTAGGGCATTTAGCCCTTCTTTGGTTCTCTTGTAGTACATTCTCCATTCAAGAGCCATCCTGACCTTTTCAATAGAAATATGATCATATAATATAATCATATAATATAAAACAAAACTTCTTAAGGACCTGCATGTAGTTCCTTCTACCTACTTCTGTAGGCACATCACTCTATAAATTCCCTTACTCTCTAAATTCTGTTATTTATTTATTCTTCTGTACTCACCATATTCAGTAAAGCCATCTTATCATCCTATCAAAATAAAATCAGCTCCAGTATACTAACAATGAACAAATAAAATTGGAAATTAAAAAAATACAATTGACATTAGTATTAAAAAAAGAAATACTTAGGCATAAATCTAAAAAAATGCATACAAGGTCTATATGAGGAAAACTACAATACTCTGATGAGCAAAATTGAAGAACTAAGTAAATGGAAACATTCAATTTTCATGGGTAGGAGATCAATATTGTCAAAATATCAATTCTTTCCAACATGATCTATAGATTCAATGCAATTCCAATAAAAATTTCATCAAGTTACTTTACAGATATAAGCTGATTGAGGCAAAAGACCCAGAATAGCCAACACAATGAAGAAGAAAATCAAAGTTGAAGGACCACTGTTACCAAACTTCAAGATTACTATAAAACTATAGTAATCAAAACAATATAGTATGGACAAAAGAATAGACAGATTCGTGGAAGAGAATAGCCCAGAAATACACTCAACTATAGTCTACTGACCTTTGATAAAATAGCAAAAGCAATACCAAACATAGTCTTTTCAACAAATTGTGCTGGAACACATAGGCATACACATCTCCCCTCCCCGCCCCCACCAAAAGAATCTAGACATAGACTTTATTACACCTTTCACAAAAATTAACTCAGTGGCTTTTCCCATTGTGTCAGTGCAGGTAAAGCATGTAACATATTGTGGAGGCTTACTACAGAGTCTCATGGTATTCTGGTAGCATGATAGAATGAATGAATGCCATGGTTATGCCTGCACAGAGGGAATTGGTGGACACCACATAATTCCTTTTTGTTTCCTATTAGTATACTAGTACTCACAAAGGGAAATCTTAGTCCTGACTTCCAGGATTATAGATTTGTTTTACCTGTTTTGTACTTTATATATATGAAGCAATACACTTTTTCTTCTTATCTTTGACTTTTTTTGCTCAACATTCTATTTGTGAAGCAGTAAAGAGAAGAAAGATAGATTTGGCAGAAATGAGGAAGTATTGGAAAAGTGCAATGTACAATAGCAAAGGCAAGAAACAGGATAAGAGGAAGACTTTAAGGAGAGCAAAGGATAAGAAAAAATGCCATAAATAGCTTAATGATAAAGGATAGAAGACTAAGATATGAGAGTTTCTTTCAGCTTCAGTCAAATCAATGATAATTATTAGAGAGTCACTGTAGTCTTGATATCATGCACTCAAGATTCTCATACCATTTTGCCAGAAGAAAATAGTAGGAAACTTGTTACATATTCATTAACATATTAATATGTGATATTGTATGTTCTATGTAATTGTATATTTTAAGATGAATATTCATATGCTGTTATCTTTTAATGACAAAAATTTAGTTTTCAGTGTAGACTCTCAAATGTCACATGTAAACACATAGAGCAAACTTTTAACATTTCAAATAAAAATGATAAAACTTTTTCTCTCAGTCATAAGAATTGTAATGGAGTTATTATGGTTGAATATGAGGCAGGTTTTGACATCCAAGACAGTATCAACCATAATATATTTTGCCTTTCTCATATTATAGTTTGTCACAGAGTTTTTCAACAATATCGTATACATTCTTCATATTGAGTAAATATCTGTTTAATTAGTCTTAACACATCAGCATTACAAACTATTTCTCTGCTGCCTTTTCATGCTTAAAATTAACTTTAGATATTCATGCTGACATGTAGAAATTAATTTAATATATCAGAACTGTATGCGGTTGGTGTTAACAACTTCCTTAAGTCCTTGAACACAGTTCTCTTTAGGTTGATTGATACATTATGTTACCCACTTACTTTCTTCTCCTACTTTAAATTCCCTCATAAAGAACTTTAATATTCTGTTTTTTAAAATCATTTTATCCAAAGTGTCATTGAATATCTGAATTCAAAATCCCATTGACCTGCTAAAGAGGAAGATGCATCTTAACAATTGAGAAACATTTAGTCATATATGTTAACTCAAATCAACATGGCTGAGAAAAGCCTTTAACTAATATAATTTTGATTTTCTACTTTAGAAATCCTGAAACCATGGGTCACCCACATATGCTTTGAGATGCGTTAGATGCTTTTTCTTTCCTGGAAGCCCTGCAACAACTCTAAACTTTGAATATATTGTAGAACAGATCTATGGTAAGTGGGCTCTTTTCCTCATTTTTTTTTCTTTCTGGTTTGTGTTCAAGTTAAGTCTTATGAATGCCCTAATGCTGCTCCCTGCTGGACACTAATTTTTGAAGGTTGGCACTTAATAGATGGACAAGTAACTGGTTAGCTGGAGGGGAATCCTTGGCTGTATTCACACACACACACACACACACACACACACACACACACACACAAAATAGTATATGACAAAAGCAACTCTGTTATAATGAGTAATACCATTGTCATTATGTTGATATTTGGAATATGATGAAAGTGCTGATAGTCTTGCTTCTAATTTTCATTGTCTGTTTCCTGTTTAATGGCATCTAAAAGTTATAACCAACATACATTGGAGTTTACATTTATATTTTTTTCTTTTTGTAGTAGCAAACTATTGGAAACACCCTAATGTCTACCCATAGGGTACTTGTTAAATGATCTGTGGCCTAGCTATACAGCTTTAAAAAAAGAAAGGATATTCTCTATATGCAGATTTGGAAGTTTTCAAACATGCATTGTCATTTCAACAGAGCAGAATTCAAACAATGTATTGTAAACTACTTTTTGTGTAAACGGGCAGGGAATCAAAATATGAATATATCTAGAGATGCTTATATTTGCATAAGAAAATCTGGAATGGTATACAAAATCTATTGAGTTGAAAATTTGATTATTTAAATGAACTGTCTCAGAACCCTTAGTTTTTTCCTATGACAAGGATTTTGACTGCTTTTGTGTATCTGTGTGTAAAACTGCCTTTTAAAAGAAAGCTCTATATACATAAAAGTACACATATTATAAGTAGACAGCTCAATGAATTTTTTAGAAGCCAAAAAAAAAAAAACCCCATGTAACCAGCGCCTAGATAAAGAAAGAGAATATTATCAACACCCTAGAAGACACCGTCATGTTTCCTTCCAGTCACTACTTCCCTCCCTGCACTAGAATAACCCCTACCCTGACTTTTCAGTAGCATCATTAGTTTTGCTTGTATTTATATTTTATATAGAATTATACAGTCTATTTTATGTCTGGTTTCCTTTGCCCAACTTTTTTTCATGAGATTTGTCCATATTGTTGCATGTAGTCATACTTTGTTCATTTTCATTGCTGCATGTCATCATATATGACTGTATCACAACTATTGTTTATCCATTCTGTTAATGAACATTTTGGAAGTTTCCATCTAACACTGCTATAAACATTATAATACATATCTCTTGATTAATATATTTATGTGTTTCTTTTGATGATATATCTAGGAGCAAAATTATTGGATCATAAGAATATATGTCCAACTTTAATCAGTATTGCCAGTTTTCTAAAACGGTACTAGTTTACATTTATGTGAGAGCTCTAGTTGCTCCACGTCTTTGCCCACACTCGATTCTTTTATCCACCTCTTTATATTTTTCAGATTCTGATGTGTATAAATAGTAAATCATTATCATTTTATTCTTTAGTTCCCTGATGATTAATGAAGTTGAGCACCTTTTCATTCGATGTATATTGCCTATTTCATTTTTCTCTTTTGTGAAGTAACTGTTCATTTCTCTTGCCCATGTTTCTGTTGGGCTGTCTTTTTCTGTGACTTGTAGATGTTTTTTATATATTTGGAATATGAGTCCTTCATCTAATACAGATTTTGCAAACATTTCTCCTGCTCTGAGGTTTGCCCTCTCAATTTATTAATAGTGCTTTTGATGAACAGATGATTATGACTTTAAAGTCGTCTAGTTTGTCTTTTATGTTTAGTGCTCTTTACCTCTTCTTTAAGAAATATTTGTCTATTCCTAAGATGGTCTGTATTCTGTTTTTCTCTAAAAGTATTATTGTTTTACAATTTATACCCATAATTTTAGATTGTATTTTTCATGTTAGGCAATTTTGCTCTGGTTTTTAGACTAAAAAATCTATACCTCTAAACAGAAAAGGGAGGTGGATTTATGTTAATGGCCATACTTATGTGCTTTTTTACTAAATACTCCCTTAAGAAAACAGTATGTTTATCTGTGTTTGCCTCAACTGTAACTTTAATGTACTTCTTTATTTATGTTGCTTGCCTGTAAGTTAATTCTACAAGATTATTCAGGGAAGGATTTCTGGGGTGGGAAAAGTTATGATTTTCAATATTTTAAATAGTGCTAGTAATCATAAAAATTTTTATCCATGAAATATAAAGTTTGGTGACGTATTTACAGACACAATGCCAATTACCTCATTTAAGTATAGTTCATTCTGTTAAAGTTTGGGATATTGCAGTGAGGGAAAAATTAGGTTTTAGTTTTTGTCATCAAAGCAATATGAAATGCTGGCTGTTAATTTGAGAATTATTTTATAAGCTTTTTAATTATTTTGATTGTAGGTAGGTGAGCATTCTTTTGTGTATAAGTTATGAACATTCACAAGGCTTTCAGTGATACTTTTTATTATTCAGAAGTATATGAGACATATGTTCTGATTATGTGCCATTATTTGTATTGCAGAAAAGTATTTTTATATACTCTAGTATTTTAGTTTTTATTTTGTCAATAATGTATATTATTAACTTACTGTATTACTTAAGTCTACATTTACATTTCTTAATGAGAGAAATTGCCTATTTAAAAATGTATTTTGTCTGTGATCACAGTGGTGAAATTATAGAAAGGCTCTTAACTAAGCACTTAGGTATTTTTCACTTGTCATCTACATTTCTTAGTTTAAAGCATCAAATTAAATAATATTTTATCTTGGCTTTTATTTTAATTCATGCATTTAAAAACTGAAATACAGATAAAAGGTAGTTTCAAAATAAATTCAGTATATTATTTATGAGTGGAGCAACACATTAGCATTGGGTTCACAATAGATCATATCGCTTTTATTCCATCTTACAAGCTTAGCAGCACAAACAGAATAATCAACATATTATTTGGCTGTCATCTGCTGAACAGAAACCAGAGATCACAAGGAGGTTTTCCCTAGCTGTGGTGATGGCCTTTTTGTTCCAAGCCCCCATCTGGGAGGGCCATGGTGTGTTATCATATGGAACGCGGGGTTTTCTGTAATCTGCTTAGCTGCACTGCAGTTTGAATCTTCATTCCATGTTTGTGTAATTTATAATTTTAATGAGACCATGGCTCTTGTGGGCTTTGAAATATATTAAAAGCTCTTTTGTGCATATGCTTTTGTTCTTGCTTAATAGGCTCAGTGTATTTAAAACTGATGAATTTTTATTCATGAATTTGGATGTCTGGGGATTAACTTAGACTGAATATCATTGCTCTCATATATTGATGGTTAGAAAGTTTTTTATTGTTATTACTTTGTTTTCATATGTGTGTGTTTGTCTGTGTCTGTGTGTATATGTGATACTTGTAACCAGGAAAGGAAAGAAATACATAATTTTAAAAAGGTAGGAAAAAGTGGCATGGCTAGGTTATAAAGAACTGATTTAGATGTTATCCATCTTATTTATTGATACTAATGTATCATCTTCAGTCTTAGTATTTTAGATAAATATTATATTATAAAGGAAAAATTATGAAAAAGTAACTTTTAAATGAGTTACTTTATGTACTACTCTTTATAGAAATTCCCAATGTGTGACAAAGATAGACTTTGTATTTTAATTGTATAATATCAATTTCCTTTGGTTATTCTAAATCTACCATTAACTTTCTTTACTTAAATTAGGTATACATTTTATATTTTAACTATTTACAGTTTTCCTTGTTTCTGTAAAACTATTTTTATTAATGAAATTTTATAAACCTACATTGATGGATAATGAAATGACTAATGGAAAAGCAGCCTTCTAATAATTTATAAAATTGAACTTTTTCATTTTTCTAAAATTCTGAAATGTACTAAATGCTTCAAGTCTATGTAGTTATTATGATGTATTTGAAAAATTTGAATATAAGTAATTATATAGCACCTTAGGAAAAAAATCATGCCACTTGGTAGATGCAGACATGTTATTTGAAGTTGCTGTCTATTGGACTCAGTGAGTGGTACACACAGACCTTAGTAGTCTTTTATGAAGTTGCTCAAGATGTACTTTTTCTAAAAGCCTATGCTTACTGGACTAAAACATTTTTCTAACTATAACACATTATTCTTTTTTGGTTCACAATGGTCAGTAATTTGGCTAGTCCCTCCTTCCTCACTACCCTTAAGCTAGAGATATGAAATAGATTCTAAAATGACTGCATTTTCTTCTTTCTTTACTAAGCTTATCTACCGGATTTAACACTAGAATGTAATGTTTGTTCTTCCATAATAACCCTCTGTTTTAGTATTTTTATTAGTTGTACAATTTTAATTAGTTTAAGAATATATTATTAAAAATATGTAATCTGCTAAAACAGTGCTGTCCAATAGAAATATGAGTAATATATGTATTTTATTTAACCTGCTGTATCTAAATTACTATCTTTTCAACATGTAATTAATATATAAAATATTTTACTTTTTTTTGTACTAAGTCTTCAAAGTCCTGTGTAAGAATATTTTATTCTTACAATACCTCTCAGTTTGGAGTAGTCACATTTCAACTGTTCAAAAGCCATATATAGCTAGTGGCTACTTTATTAAACAGTATAGCTCTAAAGTATTACATGTAAATACCATAACAGAAATGTGTATTTTTTGCATTCCTCATTATTTTTTTAATAATATCCTAATCAAGGCAATCAAAGAGTATACATGTGCTATGTATGTAGTTGAAGTTACACAATATTGTTGGGTTATACATGCCTGTTTAATACACAAAATCAGAATTATAACACCTGACTCCTGAGTACTTAACAGATATTGTATAGATATGCTTAAAGATACTGTGATTATAAGGCGAAAATGACTAATATAAGGTATGTGGTATGTTCCTCAGCAATTGTGGGCAAATAGAACTTATCAAACAAGCCATAGTTCAAGTATACCAAGGAGATTAGTTTTACATGAATCCCATGGCAAATCTCAATAGTTTTTTTAAAATATAAAGT